ATACAATGATTTTTTAGAAGTGTTATGGCCCTAAGGGTGAAAAAAATTATTCCATAAATTGTCAACACATTTGTATTTATTTGTTTTAAAATAAAGATGTGTTGCTATAGGAAAACAGACACCCCACAGTTACAAGAAGGTAGGCACAATCTTGTGAAGTGTACCAAGTAAGCACAAGATAAAACCTTTGCCTGCATGAGGTTTACAAACTCATTATGAAGGAAAAACAGAAACCCATGAGACAAGAGAATAAGATAGAACATAATAAATTGTCAAACTTCCTGATATGGATGATACATGACAAAGGAATTTCAAGAAGTCAGAAAGAGACTAGTGTAGAATGGAATAGCCAAGCAAACTTTTTTCTTTGTCTTTTTCTTTTCAAGGATATATATTTGAAACAGTCCTGGTAAGTTCAGTAGGGGATAAATATGCATAGATTTCAAGTCACCCATACCCAAGAAGATAGGTCATTTCTAATAAGAAAAGCAACATAAGTAAAGGTCCATGGAATGGAATTCAGCATATCTATAGGAAACATCAGTAAAAAAATGAAATCAAATGATTTAGATGAGACAAGATCCTGAAACTGTTTGCAAGCCTTATCTAAGAGTATCAGCTTGATTTGGTAGTAAATTATAGATTCTTGACAAATGTGATATTTTAGGAAATGCAATACAGACGAGTTAAATTTCAGAAAGAGTAAAGATAAGAGTGCAGTAAAGATCTACGAGATTTGTAGTAATCCATATATGAGATGATGAAGACATTGTCTGTGATGGTGGCAGTGAGAATGGGGAAAGGGGGATGTATCCAAGCGGTGTTGAAATTAATAAACAATAGGAATTTGTAGGTATAAAAGTTTCGATTGTTTTGTGCTAATGAATGGGTGAAGTAAGGGTGAAGATGAAAATAATTTTAGATAAGGAGATGATTGAACTGTGAATGATAGGTGTCAGAAGTGTTGTCAGGCTGGATGTTGCAGTTGCTGAAGATAATAGGAGAATATAGGCTAGGGAGAAAAATGTCAGCTAGATGTCAGAACCACTGAGGTAGAAGATATTGCATTTTAGAGCTTGGTATATTAATGGATTATAGCAAATTCAAATTAATGGATTGCATCAAGAGTTAATGATGGATCAGTTGTCTTGAAAAGCATGGGGGTGTATTAAAAATCATTATAACATAAAAACAAAAGTTGGTAATGGAATATTAGTTTTAAAATAATAGTAGCAGTGGGAAGTAAGGCACAGAGTAATTCTTTCCTTTTGGAATGATCTAGGTTGAATGTGAGGTCTTACTGAGAAAAAGCCATCAATTTCATTGTATTATTATACTTAGAGGAAACCCAAATTTCATCTAAGAAGTAGAAGGAAATGAGGAATATTTGAGGATAAAGGGGAGAGGCCACAGCAAAGAGTATACTAGTGGGACAGCTTGAAGTAAGGAAAAAAAAGGCTAGAGATGAAGTAAATTGGGCTAAGATTTCAAAAGAAAGTAGAATTGATGGGGTTTTGAACTAGGAGAGGCAAATTGATGATAACAGATTATAAAGAAACAATGTTAGGAGATAGGGTGAGGATATGTTAATATCAGCATGAGACGGGTGCTAGTTAGAAAGTCTCTTATTACCAGGGGAAATTAAATGTTAGGCCAACCTGACATTCCAAATGGAATGCTGATATGCTTGTGCTTTTGTAAAACTTCTTAGTTGAGTCTGGCTATCTCAGTTTGTGTTCAAGATTTCTGGTGGGTCAAGGAAGATTAAATTTCCTATGTAAAACTCAGGGTACTAAAGAATTCTAAATGGGATGTCTTATTTATATGCAGTAGGAATTATAATACTAGAGCTCAACTGAGATGTTGAGACCAGAGGTGTAGTCAAATTGAGAGTCAGCATAAAGGAGATAGTTGATACTATGAGAAACAATGCCCAAGGGTTATGAATAAGAGAAAAAATAGAAATTCAAAGACTAAGGTTTTGGAGTATGGTCATATTTGGGTGTGGCTTTTGAAAAAGAACAAAAATGGAGACACCAAAGGAATGACCAGGAAAAGAATAAGATTAGTTGTGTCACAAAAAGCAAAGGAGAAACTTTGGTTTAAAATGTCAGACATCACAGAAGAATGAGGAGAAAAGGACCACTGGTGAATTTTTAATTTGAGTATTGTGACATGCTGAACATTGGAGCAAAGATTCAGTTAATGTAAATCCACAAAAAGAAAGTTCTCAGAGGATTTATATGAGAATTTGACTTTTCTATCCATTATTTACTCCTGTGGAAATAACAAAATTATTAATTTTTGCCTCACTTTGGACAAAAAGGACCTGTTATTTTGCTCTAAAGAAACAAAAGAGAATCAGGTCAAAAGTCAAAATAGTAAAAAAGAAAAGAAAAGAAAAGAAATTGAAACACTGGTATATTATTTCACTTCATCAATACTCTGCTTGCAAAAGTATTCAATGTATCATAGATTATTTTAGATTTATTTCAATGTTATTTAAGATAGTTCATATCTTATACCATTTCATGGATTATTTTTAGGAAATAACATGTTAGAAAATTACATATTCTCCAAGTACTTTAATGTTTTAAGTCAAGATAACAATTATTTGTTTTGATTTTTAAAAAAAATACTTATTTTATGTTTTTCATTCATTCCTGGAGCATCTATTAAAAGTGTACTCACATTTCTGAGGGTAAAATGAATAATTAAAATAAGAATTCATTTTTATTAAACTGAAAAATATTTTTACAATTTGATGAGAAAAATCAGAGCTCTGAAGCAATTTCTCTAGACTAAGAAAATCTTTTAAAAATACTTCATGTAATCACATTTCATTATATTGTTGTTTTAAACAAGGTTTATAAGGTTGTTTTAAACTATCTGCATTCTATATCTTCAGTGTGTATAATAAAATTAATAAACAACCAAACATAACTTTTGCAAATTATAGATATAAAAATCTTGCCTTTTAAAAGTTAAAATATACCAAGACAAAAATGTCCACTGAAAATTACATCCAAATATGCAAAAATTATTTTAAAAAGCAGTCCATGGCCTATTTTTGTCAATATGATGCCTATAAAGGGTATGACTGATTTTTTTCTAAATGAACTGACCAGTTGTCCAAGTGAATTGATAAAATTCATTGGTGGAGGGGAGGGAGGCAGCAGGTAGTTGCCACATAGACTTTTGACCTCATCATGCAACAATTTCTGTTTTGTTTTTCTCTCCCCATGGCTTGAGGTTTTTGTTTTTTGTTTTTGTTTTTCATTTTCATCAAACAATTTTTAACTATCAGTTTGCTTATCATTGTATAAATTTCATCTCTTTTCCTTAGAGGATGTCCTCCCCACTCCCCACTCTGCAATGCAGTATAGAATTTTTCCTTACATTCTTGACTTGTCTTCACAGGGGAACCAGTTAAATTTATCAACCAATTTAGTAAAATGACTGGTTTGAATATCTTTTTTTAAACTATTGAATTGATTAATATCTTACAGAATTAATTAGCTATATTAATGTCAAATTAAAACAAAGTAAGAGAGATCAAAATTTCATGGATTTCTCAGTGATCAAAAAATTGATCATTTAATTTGTGGGAGAAAACAACAGAAAATAAGTATCATTGCCTTGCCTTTTCCAGCTTTAGGGAAATGTTTGTAGCTATATTAGTTGCTTAAAAGTAGAAACATTTAAAATTCATCTGCTTGTTTGACATTTTTATCCCCCTAGTACTTATAATGGTATTTGAAAAGGGAAAAAATGCACACACACATACAAAATAAACTAGAAATACACAATTGAACCTACTTGGGATGGCGACCACCTAGTTCTCAAAGCAAGATAGAAGTTTTGTGGTTGGTATATTTTTTATAATCACAGTACAATTATGTCTTATTGTGAAACAAATATTGTCCATAGTATTAGACACATTGTTATATAGTATTCATTGACTTCATCTCAAGAACAGTGCCTCACTAATGTATCATACATACATAGTTCATACACAGTTCAGATTATCACGATATGTTAATCTTACCATTTGAACTACATGTGAAGAAGTATTAGGATCTATCTTACACTGGCAGCATTAAAGTTGTAATATAGAATATACTGAATGTGGGAGTTGCTACTATCTAATTTATTTGGGAGGTGATAATTATTTGGGAGGAGATAGAGGAAATTTATTCTATCAGACCCCCATTCCACCTACATAACCATACAAACATATTGTTCTGACAATATACATGTTTACCAAAAACTAGGCTATTTGTAACTGAAAACCTGAAAATGAGCAATGCTTATAAGGTAAAAAAAGAGTTGTACACAAGACAAAAATTACTAATAATTTAAAAGCACACAAAAAAATTGGCACTCTAAATTGGCAATATAAAGAGAAACATAGAAAATATAACTAACCAAATTTTATCTTTTATAAAGTTTTTTTTTTAAATGAATGAAAAGATGGTAATACAGGACAAGAAAAGTAGTAGCTTCCTCCTCACTGCTATAGGATTAGTGAGAATCTTATATTGAGAATAAAATTAATGTAAAAACTTCTCTATGATATTTCAAGAAGGCAAAATTAACTTGTGAATATTTTATTTTTTATTTTAAGTTTCTACTTTAGATGTAGAAAAGTCTAACAAATATTTAGACCACTGAAACCATCATTGCATTGAACTGAATGCTTAAAATGTTCTCTAAGATTTTCTTCATATATAAAATTATCTGACAGAGACTTTTAAATATAACATATATTTGTGACATGATCCTCTCATATTATATTACTCCATAGGGATATATTATTTTAGTGGTTTTTATTATTGGTGGTGGTACTTTGAAAATCCTGTCTTGCTGTCACTGGAAATTGTATTTTAACTGCATGAGCAATTTAAAAAATGCATGTTTGTATTATGGGTCATTTTTTGCCCTCTCTTCTCCTTTGTTCATCTGGGTTGGAACATTTGACATTTCCTTGGTTTCCAAAGCCTATCATCTACGCCGTGAGGAAACAGATTGGTTTGATAAGCCCAGGGAAACTCGTTTAGAAAATGGACATGGTCTTGACCGGAAACTGCCAGAAAGACTGATTCATTCAAGACCCCTCAGCCAACATCAAGAACAAGTAAGTACTTCATCAAATTATCCCTTTTAAATCATTCTAAAAGGTCAAATTCTACCCTAAATGCTCTCAATTTTCTTAAATCAAAATGAAATTTTACTAATGAAATCACAATTTGAGCCTTTGTAATTCTTAGTTAAAAAAAGTAATGACATCATGTGACCCTGCCCAAATTAAAATAATCTAATTGCAATTGATAATGACAATTGCATCATAATGCATTGCATGACAATGACATATCCATAACATAATAGATTTAATAAGTAAACATCATTCTAGAATTCCAACACCAGATCATTTCATTGACGTAACTTATTTTACATCAATTAGAAAAAAAAGTTTACCTTGATTTATTGCTTACCTTGAAAATGGGCCCCTGCATAATATCATTATCCAATACTAACTTTAGGTCAACATGAGCTCCAAATTAAAATTGATTTCAGACAAATAAAGAAAGACAAGAATGTAATGGCTAAAAACTCAATTATTTCATGTTTCTTCAATATTTCTTGATCACAATCCATTTTAATGTCCATTGTAACAAAAGTATAAAACAAAGATGTCTAAACCCATTATTTTCATTCATTTATCCACTTATTCTTTTTTTCCTTTCTTGGTGAGGCAATTGGGCTTAAGTGACTTGCCCAGGGTCACACAGCTAGTAAGTGTTATTTGTCTGAGGCTGGATTTGAACTCAGGTCCTCCTGACTCTAGGACCAGTGCTTTATCCACTGTGCCACCTAGTTGTCCCTATATCCACTTATTCTTTACCACTGTTACTTATTCTTTGTTATTGTTCAGTCATCTCCAACTCTGTGATTTTTTTCTGATTCTTCTAATTTTTTTTTTGTTTATAAACTATGCAGTACCTAAGTTCTGGGCCTTATTTCTTACTTATTTCTTTGTGCCAAAAGTTAAGGAATAAGGTCTAAACATATAAATTAAAAGGTATTTGAATTGACTTCACTCTGCACGTAATGACAAACAGAATGATGGATTTGTCAATGTGAATTTATTCTTACATTTTTTTTAATTCTAAGAAGGTATTCAGTGATCGAATTCATGTTTTTGTTTGTTTGTTTGTTTTGTTTTGTTTTGTTTTGTTTGCATATAGCCTCTCCTTTAAGTCTTTTACTTACCTGTCTAGGGAATAAAAAAAAAAAAAAGACAAAAACCAAACAAAAATTTAAATATTCTAATAATATAAACATTACATTAACCTGTATAGACAGTATTTACATTTGTATACATAGCTACATTAATTTTTTTTGCAGGACAATGCTTTCTAATTCACTCACATAATATAGATAAAGTGGGAAGAGGGTGTGATTACATTTTGCCATAAATTGTGTAGCTCTATCTCCCTTTGAATATATAACAGTGTCATTCTTACTAGTAAGGCAATGATGAGACCCAGTAGATAGAGTGTTGAACTTGGAGTCAAGAAGACTAGAGTTCAAATTTGTTCTCAGACACTTGGTAGGTTTATAACCCTTCGTCAGTCATTTAACTCAGCCTCAGTCTTCTTATGTAAAATAGTGATAATAATAGCACATATTTCACAGAGCTGTAAGAATCAAATGAGTTTACATAAGTAAACTACATAAGTAGTTTATTTTTTGCAAACTTTAAACATTATATAAATGCTAGTCTTTATTAATAAATATAGATATAGCATCTTTATTGAGAGAAATCTTACATTAGAGTTGGTATTCATATATATAAATTCTGCTCTAATGAATAGAGAATTTGTGATAGTTTTTAGAGAAAATGTAATGCATTAGCAAGTTAATGGCAAAATTAAAATAGATCTTGTTTTGGAGAATCATTAAATAAATTTCCATAAAGAGAATATATTATATGGTACAAATTGAATTTACTAGATTCTTCTATTCTGTTGAAATATTTTGTGAGGGAAAAATATAAGGGAATACAATTTAATTTTTATTAGCAATATCCATTTGAACTAACATAATTTTTTCAAAAATTTTCTTAAATTTTGTTAATATACAAACATCCTGTGCAAGAGGGAAAAACATAATATAATCCTCAATTTCATTCTTTTTTATCTCTTAAATACTAAAGAGAAATATTGATCTTTTGGTGCAAATAAACTCAAATATTCCTATTTCAAAGTTTCTGCATCACTAAGATTTGTTTATGAAATGTCAGGAAACTAAAAGAAATTAGGAAAAATGGACTATTTCAAGACCTTACTAGATCTTTTAAAAGAAAAAAAAGTATTTTTACCTTAAAGTTAATGTATAAGAAGTGAATTATATTAATATACTATCACATCAATTTAGTAGTCATATTAGCTATAAAAACAAAGCACTGTTGGGCCTGGAGTCAGGATGACTCATCTTCCTGAGTTCAAATCCATCCTCAGATACTTACTAGTTCTGTAACCCTGGATAAAACATGTTGGCCTCAGTTTCCTCATCTGTAAAATGAGCTGGAGAAGGCAATGGCAAACCACACCAGTATCTTTACCAAGAAAACCCCAAATAGGGTCACAAAAAGTCAGATGACACTGAAACGACTGAACAACACCAACAACAATATATTATATAACTCCATTGTAATGGAAATAATTGGAATACTAAATCAACAGAATTTCTTCCAGCTCATGTACAGGACCTTGGGCAAGTTATTTAATTTCCCTACATCTCAGGCCCTTTGTCTACAAAAATCTTTTCCATGCCTCCTGAGTAGTATGATGGTATCAGTGATATTAACACTCTTGAGCCACTAAGCCTAATTGAATCATCACTTCTATATCTAAATCCTGTTAACCTAAAACTGGAAGAGAAATACGAAGCAATGGCAAAGGAAAGAAGACAGTATGATAATAATAATAATAACTCACATATTAGTTGCATTTTATACTTTAAAATTGCACATCCTCACAACAGTTATGTGTGATAGGTAGATCTAGTGTACACACATATGCACATATAGTATGTATTTATGTATATGTACTGAGTGTTTATGAGTATACTAGTTATATATGTGTACATGTAAACTACATGCATGTATATGTGTTGTATTTTAGGGAAGCTGTGGCCTAGGATAGATGAGTTACTTGAGCAGGTTTTGGCAGTAGAAAGAACAGAATTTGTGTCCAAGAGAGTGGATTCATCACTAGTCTGAGTTTCTTTAGACAATTTGCTTTACCTCTCTGGTACTCAGTTTCCTCACTTAAAAAATAAGATTATTTTAGATGATTACTGTCTCCCTAGCCCTTGCCCTACCGTGCTAAGTTCTCTGATCTTTTCATTTTTCAAAGTCACAGAGCTAAAAAGTTGCAGAACTGGAACTGACCTCATGTCTTCTGGCTCTTAATCCAGCCCTCCATACTTCAATAGTTAATGGTGGCTGAAGTTTTTATAAGGTCCCTGCCCAAAGCTAGAATGGTTGACCTACCTCTAGTATAAAGCCAGGGGCATACTAGAAAGTTGCTCTTAATAGGACACATCAAAGTTGATGCTCCACTGGCACAGTCCAGTGCTTGGCAATGACTGGTAGCCTTCTAAAACTCAAGGTCATGATCTTCCATTCCACAAATAGATATTGAATTAAAACTCTTAGTATGATTTTGAGTGATACATTTTTATTTGTTCTATAATATTTCTTCCTAATTTTCTTAATATCATATTTTCTCAAATAACTATTTTTAAATTAAATGAGATTACTAGATATATGAAATGAAGTGGCTTCCACAGTTGGCTTCCAATTAACAGGTCTGCCTTAACAAAGTGAATTGTAATCCACTTAATGATGTATGTCAATATGGATAATTTAGCTAACAAAAAAGTTTGTAATTTGAACATTAACCATGGCAATGACTGAACGATTTAGTCTGAATCATTTTGATTAGCTGACATTTGTTAACTATGCAATCAAATGTCATGTTTAGCTATTTAGACTTCATCTAGAACTCCTAGATCCAAAAGTTTATTGTTGCTGTTGTTTTCTCTGTTTCATTGTCTTTAGAGAATTATTTAAGCCAGCTCTTTCCTTAAATGAAAAATAGGCAACAAACTATATTCCTTTTTTCCTAACACTTAATTTCAGATTTAATATCCAGATTGTAATCAACTTTCATATTGGAATCAATTCAGTTAAGCACAGTTGGTTCACATGATTTTCCTGAGACCACACCCAGAGTGATTCAGTTCTTGTTTGACTTAGGAATCATGCTGGTCTAGATATCTCCCTCTCGATCTAAGTTATACGTATTTGGCATTCGCAGTGTAATTAAATATAATTTTTAATGGTCAGTAAAATGTAATTATAGGCATTATTTTAAAAACATAAATCTTTCGAAAGGGAAACCCCAAAAATAATATTAAAAGAGAACTGTCTACATTGATAAATCAGTTTAAAAAAAATAAGGGCCATATTCATATCTCTTTCCATTCTACTAAGCTGTTAAGAGAACAAAGCTCTATTAAATATAGTGCAAAGGTTTGCATTATTTAATTTACTTATTTTTGTCTTGGTAACTCATTTGGCCAGGTAGAAACAGAGATGGCACAATTAATTCAGTTCTTATATTCAAATCTGTCAGAAATGAGAATTGAAATTGCACAGGTAAAACAATAGCTTTATGGGTTTCTAATTCTACCTTTAAAAAATCTACACTATATAATGGATAACACTATTAATAATACCTTTTTGAACACAAAAGCTCAATGAGTGAAGGATTCATGTATTTGCATACAATTTTGGTGAATATTTTTCCAGTAAAGTGAGTAAAATGTCAGGATCTATGAAACTTCAGAAAAGTCCCTGAAGGTATGTCCAATATTAAAAGAAGGTTACAGTACAATCAAGGCACATGCTTTATTATTTAGAAATAAATTTTCCAGATGCCTCATCGTGGTCCAAAGGTGTTTGGGTTCTCAAAGACTATGCTATTTCAGCAGAAATTTTGTTTGATTTTAGCAAGAATGAAAGATTTTGAGTATAAGCTAGTTAATGTACTATGTACTAGGATTATCTGAGCTTAAAATTGAGAGATTTACCTCCATAAGGAGAAGTACTGCAGGGTGGCAATGGGGGAGTGTCCTATTTGACCACAACATTTATTTTAAAAAAAGAAAAAGAAACAAAACTACCTTTATTCTTATGTAATAACCTATTCATAATATCAGAACCAATTTGGTGAAATAGGTATAGGATACAAGGTAACAAGAATCACACAGCTCTTAGATTTTCTAAAGAGCCAGCTGGTCAGTATAGTAGGGAAATTATTGGCTTTGGAATTGGGAGTATCTGAATTTTAAAGCTGCCTTATTGGTATTATGACCATGGTGTGCAAGGCATTTGAACTTCTGTCCTCCTGTTTCACCCATCAATTAAGTGGAGATAATAACAGTATTTAATTTACGGATGTTTTGTAGCTACCATATGAGATCATATATGAAAAGTTCTTTGCAAACTTTAAAGCACTATGTAAATGTCAGCTATTATTGTTTTCTAAAATCATTAATTATTAGTTCTCTTAACCTGGGATTATTGTCCAACTGGTAAAAATGAATCATATATATAGAGATAGATTCACTATGATGTTTCACTATAAGTTAAACGAGAAGGAATAAAGAATCCAAATGTATGAGTGACTCACAAACTTTTTTGAGGAAAGGAAAAAAAATAGAGCTGGTTTTACTTTATTCCCAGTAGCAATGAAACATCAATTCATGGGTCATCTTGTCTTTTAGTGATCATGATAAATTTAAGTATATCTGCTACTAGAAAGATAATTATAGCTTATATGCCAACATGCATTATAGAGGATGAAGCAGAGAAATTGGATGAAGAGCTTGACACAAACCTCCAAATTAAGCCTTCACAAACAATGAAATATCATGATTTTCCTATGAAAATGAGCAAAGGTGAGGATAATGGAAATTATATTAGAAAATAAGATTTGAGATTAAAAGCAAAATGAAAAATATTAACTAGATTAATTATGTCTCATACCTATAGATCATGAGCATTTTTTTCAAGACTATAATCAGAAACCATAAGAAATGATGAAGTGACAAATTCAATGAAACATGAGAAGATACATGAACTAATGCAGAGTGAAATAAAATAGGGAAAACATACACAGCTACAGCAATATAAATTATGAGAACAATAAAACAACTGAATACTGTGTAATTTTAATAACTAAACTTGTTCCTCAAAAAGTTTAGGAAATGTACTTCTTTCCTTCCTTACTTCTCTCCCTACAAGGTGGGGGTACTGTGAATGTATGGGGGCAGGGATGTTGCATGTGCTTTTAGATATAATCTCTATGTTGGCTGGTTTCACTTAGCTGATTTTTTCCTTTTTTTGCTATTTGTTACAAGAGAAAGGTCACTGGATAAAAGAAGGCAGAAGACTATATTTGGAAATGATTGTGTTGTAAAAACAAACAATTTCAATAAAACTTTTTAAAAAGAATATCATCTGATGCTTCTAGAGATGACAAAATGTAACAGTGAAATTGACATTGTATCTTAAAATATAGAGCATGTCTCAACCAGTTTAAGTAAGCTTTCAACTTGAAAAAGGTGAAATAGACAAAAGTAATGTTTTTAAAAAAAGAATTTGAACATGCAGAAATTATCAAAACAAAGAGAATGTATCCAGAAACTAGCACAGCCATCAAATGCTTAATCCCCTCAACAAGAAGAGACACATGGGAGATGAGCAGTACCAGTGTAAGCTCATTTTTAATACATAATAGATGATGGAAAACTGCAAGCAGACAGTGAAGAACAATTGAGGATAAAGTTAGCTGTCTGAGAGATTGATACTCAATTCAGCTAAGCCAGGTCATCATCTTCAGGCTGTTTACAGAAGCCACAAGGAGAACAACAAACATGAAATCAAATGTATTTGGCAGTGGTTATACAGTGAACTATACTCATCAGAGACAATAATGGAACCATCCCATCTCTACCGTACCACCTGAGTACCCAATGTACTGAGGTAAAGAAGTGACAATGACACCTAAGAAGATAAATTTAGAAAGAGTGCTAGTCCTGATTGTGCTGGAAGTGACATTACTTTAATGAGACTCAGGGACTGATTTTTTAAAAAGATATCTCGAAGAGAGGATGATTACAAAAGAATGGAAAAGGTTATAGATAGTGCTTTTTATCAACAAAAAAATAAAGTAACTGAAAATAAGTCCATTTTTTTTGTCTCCAACAGAGCTATAGCCAGGTTGGAGGTGGGGGTGAGGTAAACTTTTTTTCTCTTCTCTAAGAAGTCATTACCAAAATAGTCCACACGTGTTTTGAGGGCATTTCTGATGAAAATATTAGGGAAAAAACAAGCAGGATTTTGAGGATGATTTTCTATAGCAGATCAAGTATTTACAATTATACTTAAAATTGTACAAATTTAAGATCTCCCTGTGTAATTGCTTCAGTTTGCTTTTAATACTTGAATGAGTGGAACAAAATTCAAACTTGAAGTCTCTGCTCATAAAGCATAGAAAAAGTACAGTGGAAAGAGCCCTGACTCTGAAGATAGAAAACAGGTGTTCTAATCCCACCTGGCCTTGAGGTTTTTTTTTCCATCTGCAAACTTAAGCAGTTATCTAGATGGCCTCTGAGATGGCTCCTTCCAGCAGTAGACCTATGTATGATGTATGATCAATGATATGTGTGATTACTAGGAGCAGCAATTATCTCATTGTCAACATCCAGCAGATATAGATTCATCTAAGCTATTCACCAGTATGAAGGAAAGATGCCTTGTGTGAAGTCTATATAGAAGGACTCTCTATGGATGGCTTGGATCTCCAAAAATTTCAATTTATATTCAAAGTTTATATTATAATTAATTCCATATAACCCTCCCTTGTGGGGCAAATAGGTGGTGTAGTGGAGAAAGGGCTGAATATGGAATCAAGAAAACTCATCTTCATGCGTTCAAATCTGGCCTCAGACACTAGCTGTGTGACCTTAGGCAAGTCACTTAACCCTGTTTGCCTCACTTTCCTCATCTATAAAATGAGCTGGAGAAGGAAATGGCAAACCACTTGAGCATCTTTGCCAAGAAAACCCCAAATGGAGTCACAAAGAGTTGGACACAACTGAAACAACTGAACAACAAACCCTGGAACCCTACTAAACCAAAAATGGATATATAGAGATTTTTTAGCAGTCAAGTGAAATAGTATCTTTGTACCAAGCAGATTGTGAATGTGGTATGAAGAAGAAATGAAAAGATTGTTCACAAGAAGACTTAGAAGTCTACTATAATGATCCAGATAGCATGTAATGAAGGCCTTTTTTGTCATTGTGGCAGTAAAGGGAATTGATTTTGCAATATTTTTGAGGTGACAATGATAGGACTTGGTAATAGATTGGATTTGAGACAATAGGGAAAAAGAAAAATCAAAGATAACTGAAAAGATAATCACTTCAGTTCAGGACACACTGATCTAGAGAAACAAGTAGAACATCTGCAAAGAGATGACCTGTGAGTCTTCACAAAACCATAGAATTTTTTCAGAGTGGGAAGAGACTTCAGTGGCCATGTAATCCAACTCCTGCCCTCCTACCCCCTCAAAAAAATAAAGAATCTTCACTACAACAGGATCCTATAATTCCATAATGTCTAATAAGTGGTTTTTCAGTTTCTGTTTGAAAACCTCCATGAGGAAAACCCACAGTCTCTAAGGCAACTCATTTCACATTTCAGTATTCCAAATTGTGCTTCATGGCTAAATTTGTCTCTTTGAAAATTCTGCCCATTGCTTCTGGTTCTGTTCTTTGGTGTTAATAAGAATAAGCCTAATACCTCTTCCATATCTTCAAATATTTGAAGATAGCTATTATCTATCCTCCCTCTGCCAGTCTTCTCTACTACAGGCTAAAGATCCATTGCCTTAGAAAGTTCTTTATATGACAGGGCTTCTAGGCCTTTCACCCTCCTGCTTGTCATTCTCTAGAAATTCTCTGACATCAGTGGCACTAAGAGCAGAATTCTATTTGAAACCATAACCTTCTGTTTTTTGCAGCCCAAGGTTACATTTCCTTCTTTTGGGGGCCATGGAATTGTGTTGTCTCATTGATCTTTCAGTCTGCTAAAACCTACAGCCCTTTTCTGACACACTGATGTCTAATTGTGCCTCTCTGATATGGTACTTGAGAAGTTGATTTTTTGAACTCTTATGTGCCTTGTTATGCACCTGTTGAGTTTTATCTTATTAAAGTGAACCAAATGTTCTAGCAGCTTGTCAAGAACTTTTTGTATCCTGGCTCTATGATTTGGTATGAAAGCTACCACTTCAAACTTTGTTTTCTCTAGACCTGATATGCTGATGTAGAACATAGAAAAGAAGTTTGTACAGAAAAATAAAACTTTGGAAATTATCTGAATATACTTTTTAGTAGGTAGGTAGTAGCAGAAGCCCAATTTGTCCTACTTCCTGACTTGGAAAATTAAGAAAATTTGCCTGAACATCTCACTTTCCCATATTTTCAGACTAAAACTAGACAAGTAAAAGCATTATAATCATTTCTTCTTTCAACTCACTGTCATTATTTTCTTAATAATTGTTTAAGTCAGTTATAAACCAATATTATCTCAGGAAAAATATATTAATCTATCACAATTACTGTTATTTAAGGAGAGCAGATTATAAGGAAATTTATATATTTAAAACAATACAAAATATTATTACAAAAAATAGTAAAACCAACTATTATCATGTGAGTAATTTGCAAAGCTGTGCCTCAAACCTTCTAATACGTTTTCTACTGAGTTATGAAAGATGTTGTAAAATTAACCAGGAATACATACATATACACATAGCATGTGTGTATGAAAGTATTGCTCAAATGGATTATGCATTTTGTAATATGTATGTCTTATATTTCTCAGATGAATGGGAAGCCTACACAGTACATCTTTCCTCATGCAAGAATAAAAATAATGAGAGACCTTAAGGATCATACAGTTTCAGGTAAAGCTAAATGAATGAACCATTTTATTAAACTATTAGTACATTGAATCCATTCAGACTTCTTTCTAGAAATGAATTCTAGTTATGTTTCTTACGTGTTTTGAAAAAGGAGCAAACATACAAATTCTGAATCAGAATTCTCACCATTTCAATTCATGAAACATGATCATTAGTAATTGTTCACGTGTTTAAGTCATTATCATCATCAAATAGTATTTGCTTTCTTTGGACTTAGAGTATAACACAATGTATTCTTTAAAGGAAGCCAACTTGACCTTGGGTCCTACATTCCTCTTTAAGTTTATGAGAATCTAACTGGTTGACAGCCTCTTTTTAAGTAGAAATCACCCAAACAACTGGTTAGTTCAATGAAAATATCAGTCAAATTGGTTGTTGCCCTTTTATAAAATTAAGAATTAATTGATCAAATTTTAACTCCTCAAAGCTTTATTAGGTGCATTGGGTAGAAATACCCAGAATAGTATTTTGGGAATTTGATATTTTTCACTAATCGACAAAATGGGGATGTTCTTGAAAGGACATTATCTTTGTAGCCATTAGGCTGCTTCAGCAAACAGAAAGATGTCAAATGGAAATGTGAATGGAAAACTAGTAAAAATCAAAGAGGACATATTATTGAGATCTGCTCGCATTGATAACACAGCAGGATGATGTAGTTAGAAAGGGTATTGGATTCCGAGTTTAATGATCCAAGTTCAAATCGGGGTTTTGCTACTTACTACATACGTGGTTTGGGGTAAGTTGCAACTTCTATGAAACTTAGTTTCTTCATTTGCTATGCAGGTGAGAAGGGATTGGGAATCTATAATATCCTTCTAGTTCTGAATTCTATGATTCAATGAATCATAGATTGTAAAATAAGTAATATATATAAAGTTATTTTCAAATCTTATGCCACTGTATGCACATAAACTATTATTATTATTTTTATCATTACCATTATTATTAGTTATAATAATATATAATACTTAAAGACTTACATTTGCAATGTGGAATACAAAGATTTTTTTTCCATTTTATATTAAAAGCCATCCTGCTATTGTTCAAAGAGAACATATTTCATAGAAAACAAAGTTTATATAGCTACATGTAAATAGAAACTGTAGTCATAAATGTATATATTGAAATATTCTTTGCATTTCTGGACATGTGTCGACAGTGATAATAATGCTAAGATTTTATTATATATATGTTCTTTATAACCTTTGTGTAGGTATTTCTTCATTTTACCTTTTGGTGGGAAATAGCAGAAAACAAAATACTGAGCATTTTGGTCCATGATCAATTTTAGATAATAAAAGCTGTTCCTTTACTTGCTTTCGTAAGAGGATGAATTGATTGGATAGAATTTTTTTCTTTTAAGATACGTTATTTGTCATCTCCCAGAGGCATATAATTTAGGCTTTCATAATTTTGCTTCCATTTTGAATGTCTTTTAAATACTGTTGAAAATTTCACCAGTGAATGTCAAAATCCACTTCGCTGTACAAATAATTACTTACTACAATCTTCTCAAACTCTTTACAGCTCACAAAGGAAATTAGCAGTATATTTTCCAGCTTTACAAAATATTGAGCTTTTTCCAGTAATTTCAGTAGAAACTCTTAAATTATTTTTTATTATTTTTCTCTGGGGCATATATTCTTTTGTCAATTTTTTGGATATATCATTTATTTGCATTCTACAAAGTATAGGAATAATACAATCTTTTTTTTTAAATAAAGAATCCTACTTAAATAATTCTTCTGTTTTTGTATTTTGGGATTATAACTGGAGTTACTTTTTAAAAAAATATTTTAGTAGGATAGTAGTTTATGCTATATACTTTAAAATTTTAAACATACTAGAAATTCTCATCAAATTATTTGCTTTGCTTCAAGCACAATTCAATTTCTTCCATATCTAAACTTTTTGCAGGGAGATTGAGAAAGTGTCTAAGTGATGTGTAATTTGACACCTAGACTTCTTGGATTCTTACCTCATAGTTATTTCTACCATATCTACATGTGAGAATGTGGGAAAAGACTTTACCTAAAATAATTACTCCCACAGATAAATATGTGTTAAAAGTAATGATAAAAAGAGTTGTCATGTCAAATTTAATCTGTATTGATTATTCACATATAGATATTTCTGCGAATTCATTTAGATGGGATACTTTTGAAAAGTATGAAGGATTAATACAGAGGTATATTTCCTCAACAACATAATTTTTTAGCATTTCTAATATTTTTATCTTAGCTCTTTACATTTCGACGTTTCATTTTGTTTATGTAAGTGAGAGGCATTCTGGTTAAGAACAAAGAGAACTGAATTGGGAATTAGAAGACATAGGTTGATGTTGAAGTCATAGTTATGTGTGCATATATATATATACATAATATACACATATAACTATATAGCTATATATAGTTGTGATAGGAAAGATCCTACAGCTTCAATTTTTCATTTGTAAAAATGGTTTGGTAATATTTGCTCTACCTACCATGCCTCACTGGAGTATTTTGAAAGTCAAGTTACAAAATGTATATAAACATTATATAAATGTAAAGTTTAGTATGTGTGTCTTTTTATTTCTCTGTCTGTATGTCCATGTCTCTGGCTATCTAGAGCAAAGACTGTAATTATCTGTAATACCAGGTAATTGGAAGTTCTAAGCTAAATCATCTAAAGCTCAGGAAGCATTTATGTTGAATGAAAAAAGTCTAATGTGAAAGGCAAGTGAAAATACACTGTATTTTCTAGAAAAACAAAAACATTTTTATAAGAAATAAATAGAGAAAATATTAACCTTGTGTGGAGTAGTAGAAATGACAAACTGAGAATCAAAAGCAGAGTTGTGTAATTAGGGCAGGGAGGAAGAGATTTTATACCAGGGTAACAAATTCATAAAACACTAGAAGCACTTGGAGGCTCTCATCTGAGTAGAAACATTAGAGCTTAACATATAGGTTAAGAGGATTTTAGTTAAAATATGAACCTATCTACCTTCTCCCCTCACTGAATCAGCCCTTTCAGTAGTGGTTCTTCGGTACCCTACCAATCCATTCCCCTTTGTTGAAGGTCTGTGTTGTACTGATTATCTCATAATCAGTTCGTGTTTCTTGTACCAATCCTAACACTACTCCCCTCTAAGTTATATCTCTGGTCCAATGACATGTATTTAAATATTGGCTCTGTCAATTACTAGCTGTTTCACAGTGAGTAAGACCCAACCTCCCTGACTTTGTTTCCCCATCTGTAGAATGGAGGTAGTGTTTGCAATAACTATTTTATATTGTTGTGAGCAAAGTACAATTTTTAAAGTTTTATCGATGTTTTGTTTTTATATTATAAATATTACATGTTTCTCCCATTTCATGAAAAGTCTCTTATAGTGAAACATCTAAGCAAAATGAATAATACATGACCTTATCTGAATATATATGCACCATTTTCTTATTTGCTGCACCCCACATACACACACCTCTTTTTTTTTTTTAATGAACACAAATCCATTTTCTCTCCCTGCCTTCCTTCCAATCTCTTAGGAGGCAGGGAACAAATTTCTCACAACATATGTATAGTCAAGCAAAACAAATTCCTTCAATGATTGCATTACATTCTGTACTCTGAATCCATCACATCTCTGTCATGAATAACATGTTTTATCACCAATCTTCTGAAATCATGAATGGTCCTTGAATTGATCATAGTTCTTACAACTTTCAAAATTATTTATTTTTGTGCTTATTATTGTATAAATTGTTCCACATCTGTTCATTTTATAAATTCTCCAAATTGTTGATTTTTATAATATTGATGTTATAATATAAATGGTTCTCCTCCTGCTTACTTCACTCTATATCTGTTTATATAAGGCTTTCCATGTCTTTTTGACATCATCCATTTCCTCATTCTTATAAGCACAATAGTATTCTATCACATTCATATACCCCTAATTAATCAATGATTCCTCAATCAGTTCGTATATTAATAATTTCCATTTTTGCTACTACAAAAAGAGCTACTATAAATATTTATGTACATAAAGAACCCCTTCCTCTTTCTTTTAGTTCTTTTAGTTCTTTTTTGGTATAGGTCCAACCCGTAGCATCTCCTCACAAAATCATGAAAAAGTATTTGTTATAACAACATTTTATGTAAAGAAAACTTAGAAACTCCCTCTAAAGCTCTAATATAATAAAACCCATAATATAACTTAAATTTTGTTTTTTGAAAAATATTAGATGCCTTTAAAATATTTTTTCCACATATAGAACAGCTAAAGAAGATCTCTTTAAAAAATCATATCCAATCTTTACTTCTCCTGATTGTTTAGTTCCATGGTAACTTTAGCTGCTAAACCAAGAATTATGTTCATTTCTGTACTTCAGCATAGGCTAGTGTAGTTACTTTGAAGTAAAAAAAAAAGTTACATCTGAAAGTTTCCATCATAAATGTGCAGCATTTTAGTATTACTCAGCTTCTCAGTTTAGATGCCACAGCAGTTACAATAGTGATAAGAAAATGAAAACAGCAAAATGAGTAACTCAAAAAATGGATCTCCAATTCCCCCCTCCTCCTACTTAAAGTTATATCATGCATGATTCTAGGAATATAGCAATTTTATGTAAAGCTAATGTTACTATCTTCTGAGTTAAAAAAAGGGAAAAACACAAAAACTGGACAAGAATAGAATGACTACATTTATAAAACCAAAGAAAGAATACGTGAATTGAGTCAGCCTAATGTAATGGGAAAAAACACTGGATTTGGAACCAGAAGACCTGTTCACAACTTTTGTCTCTTTACACAGTTCACTTAATCTCTTTGGGCTTTAGTTTCTTCATCTGTAAAATTATCCTTTCTGGTTCTAAATCTTATGACTGTAATATTTTAATTTCATAATGTAGCAATTTTTTCAAAGGAAATGCCTTTTGTTTTCTTCATTAACCTACCATTTTCTTAGTGCTGTAGAGATAGAGTTTAATTATAAA